AGGAATCAGAAGTATCAATAAACTTAATAAAATTATTAAAGTTCATAAGGATAGTACTGAAAAGATACAAAAAAATAATGTAGTTTACAAAGTAGACTGTAATCATTGCGATGCGTCATATGTAGGACAAACGAAAAGGAAATTGATTACGAGAATAAAAGAACATAAATATAATATTGAAAGAAATCCAGCAAGACCCTCAGTTCTATCAGAACATTGTAATAGATTTGGACATACTTTTGATTGGAATAATATACGTATTATGGATGTTGAATCTCATTATAATAAAAGATTGATTTCGGAGATGTTATTCATCAAAGAACAAAAAAACGGAATTAACGCGCAAAAAGATACGGAAAAATTAGACAAAACTTATGATCATTTGCTTAGGTCATTACCCTCAGAATAATACATATACATTATACGATATGTCAAACATATAAGTTTGTTTTCTTTTATTCTTGTGACAACTGTCGTTCGATACAGACCTTTTTACACTTGTACATTGTTTCACTTGAAGGATGAGAATTATTCATAGCATCTGATTTGCCGTAAGTTAAATAGATTCATTTTAATTTATAATTTTTAGAACTGTTTCCTAATTTATAATAATATGGATTTAGAATTACGATGCGGATAATTTTCTTTGTTCGGATTGAGAAACAATATTCATTTTACTTGCTGACTTGATGGACTATAGTTTGAAAGAGTAACCGTACTTCGTTTATTTTGTCATATATCATTTATAAAGGAGACTGAAGAGGACTTTTGTAAAAGTTGAAACGTTTCTCAGTTAAATATAGAATATTTTAATAAAAATTGTGATTATTTAAAATTGTCATCATTTAATTTGTTTGGCTTGTTCTAATACCGTAATTTAATATCTTTATTTTATTTGTTGTTTTAAAACATAACAAGCGTTGTCATTGTAATTATATATTTTTATATTTATTCAATTATTTTTTTCTTAGAATAGGTGTTTATATTATCAATTGCTTCCTCTTTAATGAAAACTCATTTTTTTTATTAAAATTTTATTCTCACAATACAAATAGCACGTAATAAGTCCGAGCGCTAAGTAGATCATCGCTGTGCAGTGACATTACGACATAAGGTGTGATATAATGAGATTTGTATACTAATGGGTCAATTCTAATCAAACTCGTAAGGTTCATAACTTGTCGTAATATTTGTAAGAACGACTGGAATTGTAATTCTATGCGTATCGTAAAGTATACGATCATTCGTAAATACTTACAATTTCTCGTAAATCTTACGGCTAGCAAGAAGTTTTTTGTAAAAACTTTACGTAAAGTTATAAACATTACAATTTGTGATTTTACAATTTTACGATTTAACGATATGTTTGCTTAGAATTGACCCATAAATCAATGATACTTACTAGTAGTGCGTACGTGCTATATGCGTGTGTCATGTAGGGGAGAATGGACATGAAGCAGACATGTTTTGAAAGAGCTATTTTGTATTTCAACTAACTGAATGTTTCCAAAAATTAAAAAATATTTTCATTTGATAACAGTGTTAAAACTACGTCGTATACATTTGATAGTCATCGTCAAAATGGTGTTGCAGTAATGAGAGATGCGAAATTGTCACTACAAAAAGTACGTTTCTTGAGTTAAATTTCCAAATGTTTTTCATTTATTTATGATTAGCTTTTGGAAAAAACATTTTTTTTATCGAATGCTATTATACATTAACGTAACTAAGAACGTATATGATAGTTACACATTTTTTTGTTTATTTTAGTTTATCTGTAGATTCTGTGATTTTTTAGTTTTTTAACACATAATTTTATGAAAAAACCAATTCTTTTATTGCATACTCAGAGATGTGTATCTGTCAGCGCACAGTATAAAATTGTCTTCATCAGATGTACACTCTATCTCTTTCTCCAAGAAACATCCCTGTGAATACTTCAAGTATTTCTTTATTATAATATAAGACGGTAACATAAGACAATAGTGTTTTTAATTAGAAATATTATATTTTGTTTTCCACATATTTATTAATTTATAGGATAACATTTTAATTTTATTTACGTTTTAAAACTTAAATAATTTAGTATTTGATTAATTACAGGTTGTAGCTTTTTCAAAATCATATTATTTTGAAAGAACTGAATTTTAAGTTTATAAAAAATGGTGATTAATCTCAGTTAATGATTAAATATTATTTTTCTGTTAAATGAATCTTATAGATAATTTAGTATACTTTATTGAGAAAGTGATTATATTTGTTTAATAGCAGATTAAATTATTTTTTTATCATTTAAAAAAAAGGCTTTTTCATGCCCACTCTTCCCTACGTGTTCATATATTCACGTTATATAAATAAAATGGTATAGAAATATGTGTATGTGTGATCCGTTGTATGGCCCCATGTCAATCGTACTGTTTTATACGTTCTAAACTCCTAAGTTTTTCGTTTTCCCACGGGATAATCACTGCAGTCTTCAAGTAATTTCTGTCTTTTATTATTTTGTTTCCGCTGTTTGTCAGAATGGATAGTTGAAGACACTCCTAATTGTGACGATAATTAAAAAAAAGACGATATTTATTTCTTTTTGCATAAAAATAATTTTGATCTCTTATTGTTTTATTATATGATCTCACTTATTGTCGCCTTTTCATTACAGAAAAGGAGAGAACATTCAAATGCTCATCTCCCACTTGTCTTTTCAATATTTTACGTAGTATAAAAAGTAGCTATGATACAAAGTAGTCGTAGTAATCTTAAAGATCATATTTATTTCCAAATATTGATATTTTATTTATGTATTCCTTGGGATGAGGTCGTTTTTGTCTGCTATTTCTGATTATACCCGTGAAAACTCGAAAGCACATTGATATTGTTAATTATGCATCTACTTTATGTAAAATTTGTTTATTTACTCAGGAATATATTCACATTCGCATTAAGCGGCATGTTTTTTGCACGAGAATGAATGAATGAACTTTAGGATAATCTATGACGATCACCCACTGTTTCTTATCACGAAATCATTAATAAAAATTTTCTTTCACTTTTGTTGTACAATTGTTTGTAATACAGCAAACTATAACATGAATATAAAAGGTTGATTGCATGTGATATACAGGGTGTTTGAAATTAACCGCCAAATATTTCATGTGTGGGTAGAACAGACTATACTGAGTCGAAAAGTCCTGTACCATTTTGGGATTGCAGCAATAGTTAAGGAGATATTAATTTTTAAATATTGCCAAATACGCGCGTTCGTCCGGCCTACCACACCATTGAGTATACGCCTACAGAACGCCGCGATGGCGCGCGGGCCGCGGGAAGCGGACGTTTGGGGGCTAGCGGCGGTGTGCGCGGCGCGGGCGGCGGAGCGCTTGCCAACCATCCCCACTCTTCGCGCGGCTAGCTATCGCGATAGCGAATATTCGGCGCTTCAGAAATTAATATTTTGACTGCGAAAATCGGGAAATGATCGAAATCTTTTTGAGAACTCAATTTAGTTCGCTCTAAAGCGTGTATATGCCCGTGTACATACAGAAAAATATTATAAATATGAATTGTTTTAAATATTTATTTAAGTGTATTTTAATTGTACCGACAACGTTCATTAATAAGTTAGAGCGGACTAAACTGAGAAAAGCCTTTTACCATTGTAATTTTCGCAATAGTTAACAAGATATTAATTACTAAAATATTAATTTTCAAGAATTTTTCACTCAAGTACTATCAACTTTACAGAAAAACAGCAAGAGACAAAAATTGTTTATTTTCTTTTCATAAAGTTCTAAAAATTTTTTCATAAATTTTTATCAACCTTTTATAGTGCTGCATTTTCTTATTAACAACTGTTTTTATGAGAAAATACGGTACTAAAAAATTCTGAAAAAATTCCCAGAACTTTATGAAAAGAAAATAAACAATTTTTGTCTCTTGCTGTTTTTCTGTAAAGTTGATAGTACTTGAGTGAAAAATTCTTGAAAATTAATATTTTAGTAATTAATATCTTGTTAACTATTGCGAAAATTACAATGGTAAAAGGCTTTTCGTCTCAGTTTAGTCCGCTCTAACTTATTAATGAACGTTGTCGGTACAATTAAAATACACTTAAATAAATATTTAAAACAATTCATATTTATAATATTTTTCTGTATGTCACGGGCATATACACGCTTTAGAGCGAACTAAATTGAGTTCTCAAAAAGATTTCGATCATTTCCCGATTTTCGCAGTCAAAATATTAATTTCTGAAGCGCCGAATATTCGCTATCGCGATAGCTAGCCGCGCGAAGAGTGGGGATGGTCGGCAAGCGCTCCGCGCCCGCACCGCGCACACCGCCGCTAGCCCCCAAACGTCCGCTTCCCGTGGCCCGCGCGCCATCGCGGCGTTCTGTAGGCGTACACTCAATGGTGTGGTAGGCCGGACGGACGCGCGTATTTGCCAATCTTTAAAAATTAATATCTCCTTAACTATTGCTGTAATCCCAAAATGGTACAGGACTTTTCGACTCAGTATAGTCTGTTCTACCCACACATGAAATACTTGGCGGTTAATTTCAAACACCCTGTATATATATATATATATATGTATATAAAATTACTACAAAATGTTTGCAATGCGACTATAAGACAAATATATAAAAAAATTATTGATAAAACATCAATTACACATACAAAATAGATCTAGAAGAAATAGGAAAAAAAATATATTTTTTTTAAATATTGCGTGTTTTTAATGTCCGAATTGTCCTATTTGTAAATTGAAAGATTTTTAATTACAAATTTTTTCCGAATTTCATCTACAAACTCTGCGTGTAAAGATCCTTAAGAGCATCTTTTCTGCAAAAAAAAGTCTCGCTGAAAAGAATTCATGTGTACAATCAGTTCGAACGTTTCATCTCCAATCTGAATTTTCTTGAAAGAAAAGCAAAACGATCGACGCATGATTTTTCTGTCTGATCGTTGTTCCTCATCTCCTATAAAGCCTACTCGCCGCATGTTCACCATCCTATAGTTCCGTTACAGAGATCCTTGTAAACCGATTCCGCTATCACGCCATGACTCTGATTGTGGCTGTTTAGAAACCTCAATTTGTTACACGTCGCCGACGATCTTTTCTGACCGATGTAGCTGACGTCGAAGCTGTGCTTCGCGTGTAATCTGCTATCCTGTCTGCGAGACCCATTTTTTAAATAATTGTTGGTTGTCATAATATCCACAGCAAACGATTTGTTAACAAGGTTGTCCCTACTGCGACAAGAAGTGCAATTTCGCACTTGGGATTGTTGTTGAGTCAGCAATGGCACCTGATTGAAATAATTGCGGATGGCCTGCGATTGGTGACCGATACATTGCGATTCTGAACTGCTAATCCCTGTAGTCCTAACATTCATGGTCCTGATGAAAGTCCTTGCAACGTTGCTGGGTTGTTCAATAGTATTCGGACTGTCGCTAATCTTAATCAGTTTTGTCGGCATCTTTTTAAACCAATGATTGTCGCCGTGCCAATTATCAGACGCCGAGATGAAAGGCCTTGGCGCCTGTGTAAAAATCTGCTGCTTGTTGGCTCTTCGTGGTTTGATGCGTTGTGTTGTTGCTGTTAATTGGTTTGATTTGCCTCTGACGCCGTACTGAAATTGGAAAAATTCCAGAGGGACGATAAAATATCAATACAAATGTATGCAACAGCGTGAAATGGTCTCAATCGAGCGATCAGCAGATTCGACACAAGTGCGGTTATGCATTATACAACTTGAAGAAAATTGCAAAAATGAGCAAACTCTCTCTCTCTTACTAGAATATTTATAATTTTATTGATCAAATTTGCTTATTTTTGTATTAATTAGTTGTACGCACAATTAAATCTTTAAGGAGGGTTTATAATCTTGCGGTAATAAAAACGCGTTATATTAAAAAGTATTTCAGCATTCTTATGTTGTGCAACAAAATTATTCGATACAGTTAAAATTGAAAATTAACTTTATAATTCTTTTTTACTTCGTTCTTTAAAATTTATTATAATATTATATATTTATTTATTATTATATATATTTATTATTATATATTATATATTTCCTTATCGGGATAAAAAACCATAAACTATTCTATTTACGCGGCACTTGTTATTAATGCAGGATTAATGCAGTAATCCTGCATTAATAGCAAGTGCCGTTAATCACAGTTTGCTCCCAAATGTGCATAAATTAATGTTGAATGCAATCTGTTAGGTGATGCATAAAAGTGGTTACAGTACCTACTAAACGCAAATCCCACACGACATGCAGCCTGTAATAACAAAATTTACCGTTTACCTTTAAGATAACTGTTAACAAAGAGGCAACAGAGCAAACATGGAGGAGTGTGAGATAAACAAGAAAATAATCTTACACTCACCATGGGCTGATCTGATTGAATGGAACGTTGAGATCTTGACAGCTGCTGCTGATTAAAGTAGAAGTAACTTTTGGCCGCTGCTGGGGATATAATGTTTCCATTCGTCAAATTACATGCATACTGTGTTATACTGCTTCTAACTGTTAATTGATCGTAAATGTACGAGGGCAAGTCAATAAGTTCTTAGAAAATCTGTCAGAGGGCACACGCAGTGTCATATTACATTACTTTTTGACAATTAGCATCTTTCAGCTGATTACTGTCAAACTTTAAACGGAATTCATCGAGAGGTTTTATTTCTGTAGACGATTAAAGCGAACAACCTTGGTATTTTTTGTAAAATGGAAAGAAACAAATTTTGTGCAGTGATCAAACATCTACATATGAAATTAACGCCGAATGAAATCAAAGTCGAATTGGATAATGTTCATAGCACATCTGCACCAACGTGTCCAACTGTATACAATTAGGTGAATAAATTTAAACGTAGTCGTACATCCACATGTGATGCAACTCGTTTGGGACGCCCAATATTGAGGCTGCTACGCCAGAAATCATCGAAAAAAAAGTCCACGATATTGATTTAACTGATCGACGAGTGAAAGTGCGCGAGCCTATTGAGGCCACAAGTAAATTACATGGCACAGTGATTTCAATTTTGCACGAACAATTGGGTATGAAAAAGCTATCGGCAATTTGGGTGCCGCGTTTACTCATTGTGGACCATAAGCGCGACCGTGTGACGATTACAAAACAATGTTTAGAGATGTTTCAACGTAATCCAGATGAATTTCTGCATCGATTCATTACTGTGGACAAAACATGGATCCATTACTTCACACCCGAGACGAAGGAACAGTCAAACAGCTTCACCGGGTGAACCAGCTCCGAAGAAGGCGAAGACCGTGAAGTCGGCCGGAAAGGTGATGGCCGCACAGTTTTTTGAGATGCACGCGATATAATTCATATCGATTACCTTCCGTCGAAGCAAACGATCAATGGCGATTACTACGCAGTCTTATTGGACCGTTTCAACAACACTTTAAAGAAAAAATGTCACCATTTGGCAAAGAAGAAAGTGCTTTTCCATCAAGACAATGCACGGGTTCACACGTGCTCGATACCGATGGCCAAATTCAAAGAATTCCGCTATGAATTGCGGATCCTCATCCAGCATATTCTCCAGATTTAGCCCTTTACGACTATTTCCTATTTCCAAACCTGAAGAAATGATTCGGAGGAAAGAGATTCATAACCAGAAAGCAACTCATCGCCGAAAGCAAAAGCTTATTTTGAAGGGTTGGACAAATCATATTAGAACGGCTTGAAAAAGTTGGATCGAGTGTATCGAGCTGAAAGAAGAAATAGAAATAAATCGATCAAAAAAAATGTGTTTTACTATGTATTTCTAAAAACTTATTGATGACTCGCTCTCATAGTAATTGAAATTTTTTGGAGATCTATAATCTCGTTGAGTTTAATTTCCAACTTTATAAACTGGTCCATTAATTAATTTCAAAATGCTTAAAAAATATTATTAGAAAAAATTGTTACCATTATGACGGCTTAAGGTCTCCTGTGCTGGCGGCTGTACGGAATTGTTCGTCGTCTGTGTTCTTGTAACGCCTCGCGGAGTATTATCACTTTGAGATGGTCTGATTGTCTTTTTGTTAGACAATGACGAACAAGCTGAAAAGGAAATAGAGTTTGCAGAAAAATTAATTAAAAATTATTTTTATTAATAATTTATTATCTTCCCGAAAGGGTTCCCACCTTATAGAAGTTGCGGGGCGGGAGCCCGCGGGTCGCGGGACGCTTAGAGTGCCCGTGGTATGCATTCCCCGCGGTAATATGACACGAGACCCACATTCGATCTGCGAAGGCAAGTACGGGGCCTCGAGGTAGAAAAACCGACGGGGGGAATATCTGACCACATCCAGGTACGCCTGGCGTTCTCGGGGGCTGCGGGCTTCCGTGCCGGGGCGGGTGGTGGGGCTTACGGGATCCTCCCGCTCAGGGGGAGGGGGGCACGTGAGCGACCAACTAAGAGAAACCCCAAAAGCTAGGGTGTAAGCAACAGTGCCCGGAGCTGCATTGCGCAGGGGGAGCTGCGTCGCAAACGGTGCCTCCTGGATACCGGGCGAACTCCACGAGTACGGAACCAAGCCCTGGGCATTCACGGCTCTGCCCGGGTAAGATCGCGAGTCCACGGTACTCGTGGGATCAACATGGAGAACAAAAATAATAACAAAGTAAATATAAACAAAGTCCTCTCGGGGGTGGCTTTCCTAGGAAGCGAACAACCGGAGGAGGAAAAAGCAGAAAGTGCGAGTCTACCCAAGACCCGTATTCGCTACAGCGGGACTGCAAGGCGCCGATTCAAAAAGGAGAAGGAGAGGGCTGAAAAAGCCATCTCTCCTTCTCCTTCTAGTACCCATACTCCGCCGGGCGGGGGAGGGTGCGACGGTGGGCACGCAGAAGCGTGCCAGACCGGTGCATGAGACGCCCAGTCAGACGGAAAATCGTCCGAGCGAGAGACCTAAGATCACTGACCAAGGGCCGTATGCCCAGGCGATGAAGGGTATTATCAGGATGGCCTTTATAGCAGAAGGCTACCCTGAGAAGAAACTGGGTGCCAGTGAGGTGGATGGGATCAGGCGACTGGTCAGGAGTGCCTCCTCGAACTTTCCGAGGATGGGCTAGTGCCCACCTTCACTGGCACCTGGGAGAGGGATGGAGCAGTTATTTTTAACTGCGCCAACCAACAGTCGGTGGATTGGCTGAAAAGCTTTTCCACCGAAATTAAAATCAGAAGCACCACTCTGCATGTGCTACCAGCTGAGGAGCTACACCTAAGCGCCGTCGGGTGGAAGTACATGTAGAGGAATCTGATTTGGCTGCCGAAGAAGCTATAAAGCTCTTCGACAGACAAAACGCGGGTCTGGGCGCCAGGAAGTGGGTCATCGTGAGGGGGAGCAAGAGTAGGAACGCGTAAAGCGCCCACTACGCTGCTTTGATCGGCGATTACTCACTGGAGGCCCTGAAGACCTGTGGCTTTAAACCCTTCTGCGGGCTGGGTCGGGCAACCATAAGGTTGCTCGATAAAGAACATAAGGAGGGGGTGACTGCCGGTGCGAGCGGGTCGGCCTAAAAATGGCGGGGTTCGCAGTACCGATAGTCCAAATTAATCTGCATCACAGCAAAGGCGCCTCGGCGATTCTAACCAGGAGCATGGCTGTGATGCAGAAAGCAATAGCAATAATTCAGGAGCCTTGGCTCCTGAATAACGCTATAAAGGGTCTGAGTGGCTGTGGAACTATTTACAAAACAGACACTCAGAACAAAATTAGGACCTGCATTGCAATTAAGGGACTAAATGCTATTTTTGTCACAGCTCGGCGATGGAGACACCCCCGTTATACGGACAAGGCTGGACTATGATGAGGACAGGCACTTGGACTTATTCATAAGGTTAGTCTACATGCCCTATGACTCCTAAGAAAAACCACCACCAAAAAGGGTGAGAGAGCTGGTGTCCTATGCGAAAGAGAGGGGCTCGAACTTCTATTGGACTGCGATGCAAACTCCCACCACATAGGGTGGGGAAGCTCGAATATAAACCCGAGGGAAGAGAGCCTCCACAAATTCATTATGGACACCAGCTTGATAATCCTAAACAGAGGAACGGTACCAACCTTCATGGACTGCAGAAGACAAGAAGTATTAGATGTCACCATTAGTACTGAGAGAGTGGCGGACCTGGTTCGGGACTGGAGGGTCTCTGGAGAGCCCACAGGTTCCGACCATAGACAGATTCGCTACAATCTCCTGCATATGATGAATAAAGAATGGGATCGAAAACCAAGGACTACAAACTGGGAAGGCTATAGGATGGACCTGGAAGCCATCCTGAAGAAAGCCCCAAACAGATTTCAGTCAGAAGGGAATCTTGAATACGCGGCGCAGTATGTAAGTGACGCGATAAGAGAGGCCTATGAGAGAAATTACTCGGAGAGACCGAAATACACTACAACCAAAACTCCCTGGTGGAGCAAGGAGCTTTCGAAGCACAGGTTGGAGGTAAGAAGACTCTTCATCAAAGCAAGGAGGAAAAAATCAACAGCCGATTGGAATGCGTATAGAAACGCCCAACGTGGTTACAGCAAAATAATAATCATTGCTAAAAGGAAAAGCTGGAGGGATTTCTGTAAAGGCATTGAGAGCGCTATAGAAGCATCCAGGCTAAACAGAATCCTTAGCAAAGACAACACCCTACGATACGGGATGTCTTAACTCCCAAACGGGAACTACACCGAAACAATAGAGGAAACTTTAAAACACCTCATGGTCTACACACTCCCCAGCGTTTCAGGAAAGTACTGTGAATCTCAACAGGAAACCAAGAAACCCGGAGAAAAACATAAACCAAGAGAATGGACACTGGCAGCCAAGGTGGTGACTCCTGAGGGAGTTGAATGGGCTATCAAGACCTACGAACCATACAAGACTCCAGGACCAGACGGCATCTACCCTGTTCTACTCAGGTAGGGTAGGAGGGTCCTAGTAGGCTCCCTAACGAGAGTGCTCAGGGCTAGCATAGCACTGAGACATGTTCCGAAAGCCTAGAGTGATACCAGAATGGTATTTATACCAAAACCAGGTAAAAATGGCCATGTGATGGCCAAGGACTACAGACCTATCAGCCTCATATCCTTCATCTTAAAGATATTGGAGAAGCTCATTGATAGGTATCTGAAAGGCTACTACCTTATTGCAAAGCCGCTGAACCCATCCCAGTGCGCCTATAGGGAGGGCAGATCTAAGGACATTGCCCTACGTCACCTTGTGAGCGGAGTTGAAGTTCAGATGGATGCAAAAGGATATGCAATAGGCGTCTCCATCGACATTGAGGGGGCTTTCGATAGCACCTCAAATACGTCGATTAAAGACGCCATGAACAGATTTAACATTTCTGAAACACTGATCGACTGGACACAAAACATGCTGAAGGGCAGAAGACTGACCGTCAATCATGGCAACAGCTCAGTTGAGGGGAGGCCGACGGCGGGCTGCCCGAAGGGGGGGGGTGCTCTCACCCTTGCTGTGGTGCCTGGTGGTGGATGACCTTCTAACAAAACTGAAGAAATGAGGCTTCGAAATCTACGGATATGCGGACGACGTCGCCATTATCACCAGAGGTAATTTCCTCTCAACACTCAAGGAACGGATGGACGAAGCCTTGGAAATTGTACAAAACTGGTGTAGGACGAGGGGACTGATGGTAAACCCTACAAAGACCTCGGTCATGATCTTCACCAGAAAATACAAACCGGAACCCATTGAGACATTAAGGCTCTGGGGAAAAGAAATAAATTATGTAAATTCAGTAAAATATTTGGTGGTCCTATTAGACCCCAAATTGAGCAGGAAACCACACCTCGAGGAAAAGAGGAAGAAATTCTACACCTCTATGTGGGCTTGTAGAAGGGCCATGGGAAAGAACTGAGGAATAAACCTCAGGACAGCCTTATGGCTATACAAGATGGTATTGTTACCAAGACTCACGTATGCAGCAGTGGTCTAATGGTCAAGGGCGGAAAAGATGGAGGCAGGGAACCTGCTCAAAAGCCTACAGGGAGGATACCTGAGGGCTGCAGCAGGGGCCATGAAAACTACACCGACTGAGGCGCTACAAGTAGCACTCAGTATTCAGCCCCTAAACCAGATGATCAAATACACAGCCAGGCAAACAGCATACAGACTAAGATGTCAGGAAGGAAACCAGGACTGGACATACAAGACTGGGACTTTCTGATAAACATCCTTTCAATCTAAAACAAGACAGGATCCCCAGAAAACACCAGCTGATAAAGACTTTCAAAGTTCAAATACCGACTAGGGAGGACTGGAGCAAACCTAACTACAAAACCAATCCAGATATAGACACTTGGTTTACGAATGGATCGGGAGCAAACGGTCGATATGGAGTAGGCATATATGCATGGGCGTCGACTATAGTGTGGTTGATGTGGAGTACTCCATACTCGAAATTTTTCCATATGTGTAATTCCACACTTGGAAATCCGAAGAATATAAAAATTATTTCTTGATGAAATAATTTATTATTTAATATTTTATCAAAAATGAAAGTTGATTAAAGTAAAGTCGTATGTTTACAACTCGATCGGCGGTTGTCGCTTTTATGACCCTCGATCGGTATTTTACTAGTGCTTAGAAAATAGAGATAAAAAATGTAAAAGATGTCGTAAACTTTTTAAAAGAAGATGTGAGAGAAATTGAGTTAAAATACACAAAAATGATAGAACTCCTGTTTATAAATTGTGCAACATCCTGTACTGCGGAAAGATCTTTTTCTTAGGAGATTTTATATATCGACAAAATCGATTTTGTATATCGATTGTTTGTCGATCTGACCAGCGATCGTTTGGTTAAGAGACGCCGTTCAGATCCGGCGTTAAACTGTTCGGTTTACTTTCATATAGGTCTCTATATGAAAGTATACCGAAGAAGGCAACGGGAAACCACTTCGGTTTATTTAATTCCCAGGGTATCACTGGCGAGGAAATCATGGCCAACGTCCGGGGGACCGGATAAGGCACATGAAGAGGAAGAAGATTAAAAAATATTATGTTAAATAGTACAGCTGTGCTGCATACATTCATTCGGATGTTGAAAAAAATCTGGATGTTGAAGCTGTAATGGACGGATTTATAAGCAGGAAAAGTAAAAGTGTTGCAACTGCATATTGGTATATGCTTCAAAAAAGTACGAAAGTTACGCAACTCCCTTAATAAAAGAGTAATAATTCCTTACAGCGATTTGTGTATACAATTTCGGAGGAGCTTTTTTTTGTTTTTTTTTTTTGGTTGTCACTTCGCCCACCCCAACTCCTACTTCCACACATAGTCAAATCTCAAGTCGACGCCCCTGCATATATGGGCCCAATACTAACCATGAGTTAAGCATACCAATGGATGAGCTGGCCACAGTGTTTCAAGCTGAAGTGCTGGCCATCTAAAAATGTGCGGAACTCCTGTTAAAGGGGAAAAGCAGGAAACAAATACACATTTACACTGATAGCAGAGCAGCTATCGAAGCACTTGCAAGAACCTCCACAGAATCATCTGTGGTATGGGACTGTATGCAAGCACTCACAACGCTAGGGGTAACTAACCAGGTAACCCTAGTATGGGTCCCTGGACATCAGGGTATACCTGGAAATGAGAGAGTGGACGAGCTGGCAAATCTGGGCATCGAAAATGTCCCGACTGAACGGATTGTCGGGGTTCCATTTTCAGCAGGAACAAAAACGATCAAAGAGTGACTTGAACGAGAGCACTCAAACTCCTGGAAGGGAGCAGATGGCTGCAAACGAGCCAAACAACTCATGAAACTTCCAAAACCAGCAAGAACTAGAGAATTGCTGGCAATGGAAAAAGAAAAACTGAGGAGCGGCATGGTCCTCCTGACAAGACACTTGACCCTCAGAGCACATCTATTCAACCTAGGACTAGCGGAGCAGAAAGAATGCCGGCTATGTGGAGAAGAAGGCGAGGACATCCTGCACTTACTGTGCCGATGCCTTGCACTCGCTTGTAAAAGATACAAATCCTGGGGACATATGTTTATGACACCCAAGGATCTAGAAAATGCGAAGGTTAGCAGTTTAATAAGTCTGGTAAGTGACACGAGGCTGAGCTCGACTGAATGACCTACGGAACAAGCAGGGAGCGACAATGGAATCTCATGGGTCTAGATCGCGTTAGAAGGCTAGTTAAGCCCACCTGCATTCATTTACTACTACTACTAATAATAATATTATCATTAATAATATTAAAATGCTTATATCAGAAGACGCCGTAGTGGCTCCAACCATGTTCAAAAACTGAAAGACACTACAAGTCTCTTATCCCGAGCCACCAAAGTCTATTTTTGAGAGGTGCATAACTACTGAAATATAAAAAATTTTGAATCGAATGTTATATGTCCTGAAAGGCGGCATAGCCACGAATAATTTGAGCCAAAAAAATTTTAAATCGGTCAAGCCGTTCTGGAGATACAAACGATAGAAAAGTTGTGATTTTAATGAAAAATAAGAAACATCTTCTTCTTCTCCTTCTTCTTCTTCTCTGTCCGCATTCAAGACCGACTTAAAAATTTATAACATCCCCTCTCACCTTTCTCTCACACCTCCACCATCCTCGACCCATCGGACCTCCTCTCCCCGCCCCTCTCCCTCCCCCACCCCTCTCTTTCGCCGTATTTCACTCTCTTTCGTTATTACAACTTTTTATCATCCTCTCTCACATTTCACTCGCTATATATTTGTGATATATGTATTTGTACTTTGAAAAGTAAGTGATATCCAAAAAAATCATATCATATCATAAAAATGAAAAGTTCAAGCCATGTTCAAAAAAAGATACTCAAAAATTTAAACTTTTTTATATAATAATAATATATTACAACAAAAAGTAACTGATATGTTATTAATTAAAGGTGCCAGTACAAAGTGAACATACATAAAGTATATGCAACTTTCGGCCGATTTTCGAATCGCCTCCGCCTTCCGCTGTCCCCTTCACCTCACCGCGCGCGGTTCAAATGCCGCACGATGTTCACTTTGTACTGGCACCTTTAATTAATAACATATCAGTTACTGTTTGTTGTAATATATTATTATTATATAAAAAAGTTTAAATTTTTTAATATCTTTTTTTGAACATGGCTTGAACTTTTCATTTTTATGATTATATATTGTTAATTTAATTTGTTATATTACTCCAACTTTAGTTTAGAATTGTATTTCAAGATCGACAAATAATCGGTACACAGTTTGCTTGAAATTAATATAAATTAAAAAAAAAAATTTATTAGATATGAAAAATTGCTTTGACCGAATGAGGCGTTTTTCACTCGTGCATGTTTAGAAATTAATAGAATAAAATTGTAGGAGATAAAAAAATTTCATATAATACATATATTCTTCTCACCGACAATCGTATCACATTGATCGATCACAGGGTTACTGCTACTGTTCCTTGTTTCCTTTCTAATGCTTTCAGACAATCGCCGCAATCTGGATTTTGACCTATAAAAAACGAGAAATAAAAAAAAATTGTTTTAAAATATATATGTATCTATTTTTATTAATATTATTTTTTATAATCAATGAATACCGATAAGAACATGCTGTAATGGTCAAGCTGGATATCGGGTGCTTCTATGTAATCGTGTGTGAATTTATATATTACAAATAAATAAAACATAAATTAAAGGCTATTAAGAGTCAAACGCAGTTAACAATGCGAAAAAAATTTTTTAATAATCTTACAAATTAACATTAAGATGCCCCGTCAAACGTTTCGGTCTGCAATTTAGACCATCTTCAGCGACGAAATAATAATAAATCACTACTCCATTTACTCCGAGTTAGAATGCAAGTATTCTTGTTGAACGACAAAATGTTCCTGTGCACCAACTAGAGGTAAAACTATCGAAGATAATGAATGTGGAGTTGTGTAATGAAATTCCGAAAAATCAGAAATATGTCTGTGAAAAAGACCGTTAACAACACAAATTCTATTAGAGTCAAATTATTACAAAACAAAAAATTACTAAAAACCTTAAAACCTTACCTCTGTTGGTAGACAAAAACATTATTTCATAATTAAATTCACAATTTAATCATACTAGAAAGACTGACTGTAATAAATATGCGTCCGTATTCGACAGTAAAAGACGATACAATGAGGAACCGTTAAATTAAAAAATAACAAAACGAAAAGGCTTAGGTCAAATTGATGTTGACAATTTATCTAAAATATCCGCGTATGCCTGATCAAGACCTTCTGTGTCAGTTTTTAAATTCAGACCATTATTTTGAGATTTAATATAAAGATTTAAAATAATGGTCTGAATTTAAAAACTGACACAGAAGGTCTTGATCAGGCATACGCGGATATTTTAGATAAATTGT